TAAAGCTATCTAAAGTATTTGATCTAACGTAAAAGCTAGTATTTCTAATAATAACAGTGTGTACCAAGATCTTAAATTTTGTAATAAATCGAAATCAATAAAGATGTAGCGAAAAGTATTAAACTGATAATTGTGCATTACCTCTATATACATACAGCATGTGATGCTATGTGTCACAATTTTGATTAATCAGAGTTTAATATAGTAGTGTAACATAAGATCTTGCTTTAATGTGCATGCGACCCCCCACCCCCCTAAAAAATTACGTAATAAATGTCAGCACCCTTATTGAGTTATATATTTGTTTTATCTGTATTATTATTTGAGTATTTTATTAAGTTATATTTTTGTTTTATCTGAATTATTCTTTTGAGTATTATCTAAATTAATAAATCTATCTTTTGTCTATAAACTTTGTTAGTTATAACCTTTTCTTTAAGTATTGTTATAGCAATAAATCGACAATATTTCATCTTATTTATTTTTTTTTTTATTAAATAGCCTCTTTGGCATAGGAGTTTTTATTCAAGTATAATGGGTGAGGAGTTCACAACGAAACCACAATTACATTAGAGAGTACAACTAACCACACATGCACCTTTTGAGCACCTATTTAAGTAGTTCACATATAGATAACTGCACATTATAGGTTCTATACTAGCTGTCATATCTATAATTCAACTAGGGGATTACCTATTTAAATCCTCTATAATATACACTGCTCTTTGTGTTACTGAAACACTCTGTTACATTTGTTAGTCAAAAGTTCTAGATGCGTACCATAGCCTTAGGATTAATTTATCCTCGAGGTATTGTTGTTAAAGCTTTCTGTACTCACAATCTGGCTAATCTAGACTTTTAGTAACTTATGCCAAGTCTGAGAACAAGTACTTGCGAGCTGAAGCCACTACCATTATCTACTCCTGCTCTTGTAGAGTTTATCCAAACCACAGCATCTACTTTACGGGCTATCTACCATTTCACCAGTCTCCAAACTCCCAATTCAGATAGCCCAGAAGGGCAAACCCCTTTCTCAGAATATACCAATTGCCTGGCTGGTATGATGCCTTGTCAAACACCTCAGTTCCATCTAGTTTCCAGATCTTTAGTGATAATCCTTTATATAGTGCCGTCGAAGATTTGTGCTACTTCTCTACTTGGGACTTGGTCCAGCCTTTAGATTTATACAAATGCTTCACTCAGATTTTGTGTAACTCTTGCATCACACTATAGTTCCACATTCTTCTAGTACAAGTTGATACAACCAAAGCTACAGATCTGATGATCCATCAGATTATACACAGTCTGCTATAACACATTCTGTAAAATTCGAATTTTGTTGCCAATGGGATTCGAACTCTTGTTTTGCCACTTGGAGGTGTGACAACTTACCAACTTCACTAAGTTACCACACCCTAATATTTCATTTTATTTATAAACTGTTTCTTCTATAAATTTATATAAACACATTTTTTAACTACTCGTATACTTAGTCAAGTAAAGTAACTTGTTAACCATAGGTCTAACTTGTTATATTACAATATATAAAACTCATTGTATTTATTTTTTTTTTTTAAAATTTTACAAAATTTTATTAAGCCAATTATTTTAAACTATTAAGTAAAAATTATAGAGCAGATTTTTCTGATTCTAATGATAGTAAAATTATTAAAATTGGTTTAATATTTGGCAAGATATAACTATTTAAATTTTAGGTATTAAAGTTGATTACAAAAATCATATAATGATCATATGATATCAACAAATCAAAATTAATCATTTTGTGCAACTGAGGCAAACTTTACTACATATAAAAATATAATTTTTTTAAATATTTTATATATTAAAATTTTGCTATTATAAAAAGAATGTTTTGTTCTATATATTATAAAATTTTGATTAAAAATAATTATAGCTATAAGAAGTTTTATTGGTAGCAGATTTTTATTTTCTATATAAATTTTATTGTACTACTAAAATCATATAACAAATGATCTACATACCCCTATCCTTAAACTTAAAGAAAGTTTGATTGAATAGAACCAAAACAACTATTCATCTTTTTATAGAGATCTAATTTTTTATACAGATAGATCATTGTAGCAAGCTAAGAACAATACAAAAGACTTTGATTATATGGGTATAGAGATCTCACAAATAGATTATAATAAATAAACAATAATTAAAGAAGACATTGTCAGAACTAAAAACTGGTCTTATCAACTAAACCAGAATTGATAACAATCTGATTAGCAGTTCTTATAATATCAAACAAAGAAAAAGCCAAGATATATACAGATAGTACAGCAGCAATTGCAAATATAGAGAAAGAAAGAAATAATTTTTTAAACAAATAATAACTAAGACAGAAAATTATAATTTAATATGTAGTATTATAAAGTTAATTAAGGTAAAAAAAATTCAATTAAATTTAGTTAAAATTAAAGGTCATAGTAATAATAGATGAAATTATCTACTAAAATAAATTATTAAAAAACTTTATTCATTTTCATTAAAGCAATTTAGAATTTTTTATATGCAAAAGCAAATCTAATTTAGATAGTTATATTAATTTTATATTCTAAAATCTAAAATAATTTCATTAGCATATATAGATGAAATAATAAAATGATAAAGCAGATAGTTTAGTAAAACAGAATGCAATAGTAATAAATATAAATAGAATTATCTTTAACCTCCTACTAAGATCAAATATTTTACTATACTAAAATAAACACTTAAAATACTTCTAGACCTTAAGACAGATATAGACTAGAAAGAATTAATAGAAAATAAAGCTAGAGAAGAATCTTGAAACTAATGAATAAACCTATTTTTGAAAATAAATCAAAAGAAATAGTAGAATCAGATATATAATATTAAAAAAAGACAAATATCTTAGAGCTTTAATCAAGTATGCTAATAAGAAGTTACCTGTACTTCAGATCAGTATTGTTATATAGACACTTATGGATACTTTTGAACATTTTTTTCAAATTAAAATTACTTAAAATTTTATTATGATAATCTACAGTATTTTAATTTGTTTATAAATGAATTCAACATCAGAGGTGTAGTGATTTAATAAAGTGGTTGGGTTGTCACCCCTCAAGCAATATATCTAGAGTTTAATTTCTACCAATGGTGAAAAATTGAATTCTATTATGTAATTACAACTCATTTATATATTGGAAAAAAGATCCTGTAATATCGGTCATACCTTATATAGGAAGAATATCCATTATACTATCGGGTCGATCTAAGGAAGAACTTGGAGCATTTGTATAATATACAAGTTATACAAAGAGGATATAAAAACTAGTTAGATGGTATAAACTCATAATAAGTCCTCGGATCGTATTAATCTGATGAATGAGAAGTCTGCTTGGCAAGACCCGAGTAAAGAAGTAGCACAAGCTTTTGATAGTGCTTACTAGAATAGACTCCACTCGAGGTTGAAAAACTGAACAAAGCAAGAGTACTGACAAGTTATTCCACCAACCAGGTTATTAGATCAACTGAAGAAAAGACTGGTGTCCTTTCCAGGCCATCTGGATTGGTAGTTGGGAGAAACTGGTTAAAGGGTATTAAAAGGGAAGATACTGGGTTGTCTTGAAGGAAGAGTACCAGAGCTTAAGTAAACTTTGTAAGGACTAAGTAGTTAAGCAGTGTGACATGTCTGTAAAAGTTTTAGAACCTATCTGACTATTTAGCTGTGGTAGAGATTGATGGTGTGACCTGCCTGTAAAGGTATAAAACCTATCCAATAATATCTATTCGAAAAAAACTAGGTTATATATTAAAAGTGGGTAATAGACAGCTCTAGCAGATGATGCACTTGAAGATGAATCGATATATACCAGTAGTTCTATAGGTAAACTTGTGATGATCTCAGAACTTGGACTAACTAATGTATCTCATGTTCCAGGTGAGGTTAGATGGATTAGCATAGAAAACTCGGATCAGAGGGTTTAATTGGGTAGCTCAAGTAATAGTGGGTTACAGGTACAACATCTAGTGTAAAACCTAGTAATAGGTAAATACTTAATTAGGCACTCAAAAGGCACAAATATGGCTAAAATGCACTCTCGTCAGAATATACTTGTCTGGGGCCCCCTTGAAAAGGGCACCACATGATCCTAGTATCTAATAAAAGCAGTGAGCCGAAGAGGCTAACCTTGACTACAAAAAAAAAAATAAATGAATCCAGCATCTAAAAAAAATATATAATTATATATTATTTAACTTACTTTATTGATTATTTAAACTTTGAACATAGTCTTGGACGATTTTGAACAATCTTGGACGTTGTACATTTTACTTAGTGTGGACACGTCCAATGTACAACACTGCCCGAGGGCAGGTTTAGACTGCCGTTTTTTGTTTGCTTCGCCGGCGATCATCAAATTTCTATAATTTGATTGGCGGATGATCACATGATTTGCCTCCGCTTTAGAAAAAAACTGATTGGTATTACCATTATCGGAAAACAATCTCGAGCGCTAAAATAATTAAGATGGCGCAGTTGAATTAATAGCAATAACGATTTCTTCTACAAGAATATGGTTACTTTACTACGAAACGCGGCTCTTTGTAGTCTGTGGCAAAAAATAGCTCTTTCAGCTATAAACCGGCGTGTAAATATTTCGAAATGTCACTATTCGCTGACAGACTTCTTATAAAAGCTTAATGCTTCAATTAGTTATTTATTTAGGCTTTAACGACAACTTCAAAACTATTTAAAAATATTCATGATGAAAAAGTTAGTTATCCAGGTGCAACTGAGAGCCATTTCACTAGTGAAATGAAGTTTATTCAGAGTATCGCACCTATACCTACGTATCTAGTTATGGATCGGCACGGGAAGATTCTTGATCTCACGCAAGAGCCACAGGTATTCAAAAAAAAAAAAAAAAAAAAAACCGTTACAATAAAGAATTTCATCTTTTTTTTTAATCCTTAAGGTATCCAAAGAATTTTCCGTAAAGATATACAAAGATATGGTTACATTAAATATTCTAGATTTTATTCTTTATGAAGCTCAACGACAAGGTCGTATAAGTTTCTATATGACAAATTATGGTGAAGAGGCTTATATCGGCAGTGCTGCTGGTTTAGATAGCCAAGATGTCATTTTTGGTCAATATAGGGAATCTGGTGTGTTATTATATCGCGGATTCACACTTGATAATTTTATGAATCAGTGTTATAGTAATGAAAAGGATATAGGAAAAGGTAGGCAGATGCCTGTACATTATGGCTCTAAAGAGTTGAACTTTCAAACAATCTCTTCACCAATTGCGACGCAACTTCCGCAGGCCTCAGGTGCTGCGTATGCGCTTAAGAGAGCCGGAAAGAAAAATTGTATTATGTGCTATTTTGGTGAAGGTGCTGCAAGTGAAGGGGATTTCCATGCGGCTCTGAACGTAGCGGCTACAATGAAATGCCCAGTAATATTTTTTTGGTAAAAGTCATTACTTATTGTATACATACGTACACATTAATATCAATATTATTTACTTTATTATTGATTTTTTGATAAAGTCGGAACAATGGTTTTGCTATTTCTACACCTGCATTAGAACAATACAAAGGAGATGGTATAGCAAGTAGAGGAATTGGATATGGAATTGACACAATACGCGTTGATGGAAATGATGTCTGGGCCATCTATAATACTACCAAAGCTGCACGACAACTCGCAGTTGAAGAACATCGCCCAGTTTTGATAGAAGCAATGACATATAGAGTTAGCCATCATAGTACTTCTGATGATTCCTTTGCGTATCGTTCCAAAAAGGAAGTTGAATATTGGAAGCAACTTGATAATCCAATAGTTCGGTTTCGCAAGTGGCTAGAGGATAAGGTTTTTTTATTAATTTTTTTTAAAATCAGCTAATCGTTTTAATTACTAGGATTGTAACATTTATTTAAGTCTAAAATATAAGCAATATAAGGCCAAAATTTTCAGTAAAGTCTAAATTAAATGGTGTGATTTTAAAATTGGTTAAGTCAGCTAAGCTGGTAAATTTATCAGCTTAGTCATAGCCAAAAAATATTGATTAGCAAAAATCACTAAAAACAACTATGCAAATTTTTTTTTAAACTTTAAATAAAAATATTCTCAACAACTATTAAGTCAAATTCAATAAACTTTGTTTAAATTCTAGAAATCTATAAAATTCAAATTAAAAAAAAAATTGAATCTATAAAATTTAATGTCTTAAAGTTTAGAAAAGATTAAATCTACAGAAAATATAAATAATAAATTTGGATATATAAAAAATAATTTCCTTTTTAAGGGTAGAGAATCAACATTTCCAAATTCAGAGGTTGTTTAAAGCTATGTATCTATATAACTTTTTTGTGTAAATAAACCAATCAGAATTGCGAAATTTTGTTTACACAGATCAGCCTGAAGAAGTTAAAAAATAAAGAAAATGCAAAAAGATGAAAAATAGCAGTTTTAACCTATCTTGGGGCACTAATTAAAAATGTCAGGAAGGAAATTTTACATATATTCCTCTTCTTATATTAACACCAAATGTACTCTAATCCTAACCTTAATTTTAATTGAAATGATTAAAATGTGGGTATATGGCTTTAGTCATCCCCCGAATTCAGATCAATTTTACCAACCCAAATTTTAAATTTCTTTATTTGGAAGGATATTAAAATGAAGCACTTAAAATTAGAGTTAAGGTTATTCAGAAGTTGGAGATCGGGCAAAAATTTGGGTAAAATTGCTCACTCAACATTTTTTATTAGTACTCCAAGAGAAGTTTAGACACCCGTTTCTTGGTTAATTTATGTAGATCACCAAATTTTATTGGTTAATTTCTGTTGATCATCCAAATAAGAAAATTTGAAATTTGGATCAGTAAAATTGGTCCTGAATTCATATTGTAGATCAACACTGTGTAACCAATATCATATGATATCATATAAACATCATATGATATGATTAAATCAATCAAAATTAACAATTCTTTGTACCACCTAGGAAAAACATATAGCGACCTAGACAAACTTTGATTATATTGAAGTTAAAATTTTTTAAAGCAATGCATATTGCGCAACTTCACTATCATAAACAACCTGTTTTAAATTACATATTATATAAATTTAATACATATATTAAGGTGTTAAAAAGTTTTATCAGAAGCATTTTTTATTTACTATGTAAAAATCCAAAATACCACGTAGATTATATGAAAAATGATCTATATTTACCCTACCCTTAATACCGTAAACGCCGTATAAGGTACCCCCCTTGATTTGTACCCCTCTTGATTTGTACCGGATACGTTTCAAGGTCATCAGATGCGGTATTTTGTAAGATACCCGGGTACGAATCAACAACTATAATTTTTCAGTTTTT